GGCCCCAGAACCCCCGGCGTCCGTCCGCCGACCTAGCCCGGTCATCCTCCCGCCGCCTGCCGCCTCGAACCGTCGGAAAAACCATGGTTTCCGACCGGTTTTTGACATAACTTTGGCCAGCGATTTCTCCCTCCTCCGGCCACCAATCCGATCGTGTGAGGTATGAATTTCTAGCTATTTTTCATGATCTAGCTGATGGTTGAGTATGATTTGAGGAATTTCTAGCGTGAGAGGGTTAATTTCGAACCTAAGGTTCGGCCGATTTTGAGATCGCGATTTCAGCCACTTCCGGCCACTTTTTGGGGTAGGTCCCAGAACAAAAGTGGCTCCAAATAGGGTGTTACACCTAAGATAGGAGTCTTGAGCCTAGTTGTTGAGTTTTTTGGCGAGGCGTTATTGCTTAGGACACCCCCGCGCTGCCGGCGCGTGTGGCGGCGAGTGGGCAGATTGGTCGAGACCCCATTCAGTTCCAGAGTGATCCTTGGGTCGTCATGAGCGCGTAGGAATTTATGAATATTAATTCGGTTACCGTTTGAACCCCGAACGGATCTCGCCTAGTATGTGAGTTCCGGGTTCAGCCGGTTTGAGCCGTTGGATCATTGTTAGGTCCAAGTATGTTAATCTAGGTATTTCCAGGATCGTATAGTATTTGACGGATCGTAAAACGGAGTCCCGGATACTCTAGGAATGTCAGCCCTAGAGTAGGTTCTACGGTTAAGTAAACCAGTTACAAAATAACGAACCAGTTGCAGGTCAAGAACAGAGGAGAGAACTACGTGTGGCTTGATCCTTTAGTAAGGGTACGTAGGCAGCCTACAGTTACCAGGCGCAGCCACGAGTTAGGGCCCCAGAGTTTGTGTTAGCGTTTTCTTATACATGTTATTGTATATACACACCTATGTCGAGAATTGAAGTTAGCAAGGTGAGTATTTAATTATCTGTTTCTTTATCACCTATTTATATTTGTTCAGGTAATTCATTGTGTTGTCAGAGTATAAAGTAGTTGATGCATATATTCAGGAGTTGAAAAGGAGGAAATTTAATTTTTTTTGGTTTTCATCAGATTTTTGGTATATATAAATATATATATTTTAAGCTCAGTTGAAAACCAATTTATTGAAAGTTGTGTAAATAGCAGATTATGGTTTTAAAACCCACCGTGAGGGTATCCCCCCGTTGCCTTAAGACAGTTATTTTGCCCCACGAGTTCGGGGACGCCTGAACCGTGTGGTGCTAGTGTACAGTCAGTTATTTTGCCCCACGAGTTCGGGGACGCCTGACCGTGTGGTGCCAGGTTGCGGCTCGG